TTGAGATGTTTTCTTCTACAAGGTTGTTAAGAATGATGTATAGTTTTGTACGAATTTATACAAAATTTTAATTAAGTTTGAAACTGTAGACAGATTTTACTACATGTTTGAAAAATCATTAAAAATCCTATATTAAACCAACTTTGGTAATTTACAAATAAAAAATGAAATTTGAGAAGTCTACTCTCATAATAAAATTTTAAATTATGGAATTGATTTATAAATTTAAGTGTGGAATTATTTCAAGAAAATGTGATGAATCTGTGTCATGAAATTTCTTGAAATTTTATTGAATTATTTATAACTTATTTTTGGTAATTTCTTTCTGCAAAATGACCATAACATGTTTTTTGAATATTCCATGTAATTCCATGAATTTTGTAATTGTATAAATAATTTATTTATAATTTTAATTATGAAAAGTATGTTCTGAATTTTTTTGAATAGATTGAAAAGGAACCAAGATTATTACTTTAATTACTTATTAGGACAAAAAATAAATATTGTATTGGTCCAATTAATTAAATCCTGTAAATTAGTATTCTATGCATGTGTGTGATTGTGGTTCACTTTTAAGTATCTAAAATTATCATTTCATACCATGGTTTAATTTAACTATTTATTATAATTTTGTAGATTGACTGATTATTGTATAACATATGTATAACATTTTCTGTTGGAAATTTTAATGAAATGGTATAACAGTTACGGTGATTGAAATTTGTAATTATTTGTGATTAATATAAAAACTAACTAAAATCATTAACGACGTGTACCAAATTAACGATTGAGGGTTAATACCGGTAGCTTAGGGTGAGCCCTGGATTTGATAATTTTTACATAATTGTGTCGTGAAACCCTAAGATAACACGGAACTTATTTGAACTCTTATCGGTATTTGGTTTTGGGATAAGGGTGGATGTGTGGGTGGTATGTAGGGAGGTTACATACCCCAGGCAAACTGTTCCCTTGGGACAGACCACGGATGACATAGCTCGGGTATACAACTTTGGGTGTGGACATCTTTGGTAGTTACAGTTGGTAACACTTGAATATTTGTCCAAGGCGGTTTTCAAATTAACCATGGCCATGACTTAGTGGTTCGTAAGAAAATCTCTTTGATGAGATTTTGAGTGTCAACTAAACTATTAAAATTGTTAAAATTATTTTAATGGTTGTTATATTGTTATTCTATTAATTTCCTTATTTTCTCTTAATTGTCATGGTTATTGATCTGATTATTTTCTCTTTAAAATAATGGTAGGTTTGTTATGTTTTATTACTGTATTGTCAAATTCATATGGAATATGTTTTATTGCCCTGGCGTTTTATGCTAGATTTTGATGAAGAAGGAGCGGAAACTGAAATTGGAGCTGCTGCTAATATAGAGGACTGACTACCTTGAAGCCATGACTTTAGTGAAATAAAATTTTACTATCTTATGTATTAATGATTGAGGATGTTATAATGTTGCTTGATGTTATAATGTTGCTTAATGTTGTATTTGGACTTTTAAATTTTTTCTTTTTTAATTTGGTGTTGTTAAACTTGTGGTTGTGTGAGAATTGAAATTTTCCTATTAAGATGTTAAATTTTCAATTTAATAAGTTATTTTGTTATTTAATTTCCTATGATGTTCAAAAAAAAAAAAATTACTTTGGGGTGTCACAATTTGGTATTAGAGCTAGATTCGAACTTTTGGGCCATGGGAAACAATTACATTTTTTTTTAACACTTAAGAAAACCTTACGTTGCCTTGAAATTTCCTCGACACGACTAAGTTAGAACCTTTTTAACTGTAGGATGCCAGGATCATCGGATGTTAACTCTCATGAGGAAGACTTGGTGAGAAATTATGAAATATAGTCAGACCCAAGTGAAGAAGTGGAGTTACCAATAGAAGACTATGAGCCTGAGTCTGAACCTGTGATAACCCAAACCGTACTATGCTTAATTATGCATGTGATTATGTGTTTGATATGAATTTTCAAGTTTAATATGTGAATTATATGAATTTGGAAAAATATCTGTTGAAAGTAGGAATATTTGTTGCAATTGAGACTTTGAACTGAAATTGAAAGCCTTAGAGACACAATAAACAAAAACCGACTTCATATCTATGATTAGCATGATTTATAGAGCATACGGTGAAATTTTAAAAAATTATGATTCGTAATGAATAAATTAAGATTTATGAGTTAAGTTGTATATATTTAGCCATCTTTTTGTTCTTCTTTGTTGGAGGAGACCTCTAAAGATTGAGTTAGAGAGAGGAAGAGGGAAATTAGGGATTTTGAAAAGAATCAAGGGGAAAACCTTAGATTTGAGTTAAGGTATGTTAATTTACATACAATTTTTGTCTCTAACTCATCTTTGTCATAAAATCAAGAATAAATTAGGAATTTTGAGCTAGGATTTGAGCTGTGTAGTGGCTTGAGCTAAAGGCATGAAATTGAACCCTAATCTCTTCATCTTTGTTTGATTTGAGTTCATTCTTGTGATTGATCCATTAAATAAACCCTAGATGTTCATGAAAACAAGATTTGTTAGAAGATCATTCATGGGTTATTTATTTTGAACTTTTTTATGTAATGCATGAATATGAGAAAGAAATGAGTCCATAAATTTGATGTTGATGCAAGATTGATATGTTTAATGTGGAATTACTCATGTATCATGCTTATATATCATGTTTTGAGTTGTTTTTGCATGAATTTGGGCTTGGAAATGAGTTGAGAGAGTTTGTATTTTTGAGCAATTTTCAGAATGTCAGGGTGTGCCCAGACCGCTCATGCGGCCACGGGCTCCGCACGAGCGGACCGTGCCTTGAACCAAAAGTGGGTTGTACTATGCACTCGAGCTTCTGCATGAGAGGAGCCAAAATGCTCGTGTGGTTAGGCCAGCTGCACTTGCGGCCAGGCAGGGAAAAATCTGTGTTGTTTTTTTTGTGTTGCTACTTCCGACCTCCGAAATGCATTCCCAACCTTATTTAAATGCTTTTAGGAGTGAAATGATGATTAAGAACTCATTAAAGAAGGTTGCAAATTATGAAAGATAAGTGTTCGAATTGAAACAAATGATTTATCGAATGTGTGTGTGAAATGTTTGTATAGGTCGTGTGCTGAGGTGACGCTGCGAAATCAAACACACTGTGAGTAGTAATATTGTACATTTATGCTCTTCATTGCGAACATTACGAATTGATTGGAAATGAAGAAACTTCATTAATATTATATGACATGCGCTATATGATTGGGCCCAAGGCCGCTTGTTATATGCTTGGGCCTAAGGCCGCTTGGTTTATATAATTATGGATATTATGAGAACCTTATGATTATCTACTTATACTGTCCTACTGTATTATTACTCATTGAGTATCGCTCACTCAATATTATGTATGCACATGCAGGTGATCAACAACATGGAGCACACCCTTAGAGTCAGCTTCAGGAACTATTTTTGTGACCCAATCGAGTTGTGCCTCCAAGACGGTGTTTTGTCTTGACTCACATCACACCTTAATCTTATTATGTTTTGCTATTATGGTCTTGGGTTTGTAAACAATGTGTACAAATTTCCTTTGGCTTTTATATTTTTGTTAGACATGTAAATGTTTTAATGTGTTACGTGGTTAACTTCATTAATATTATATAACATGTGCTATATGATTGGGCCCGACGCCGCTTGTTATATGATTGGGCCCGAGGCATGATATATGATTAGGCTTGAAGCCGCTTGTTATATGCTTGGGCCTAAGGCTGCTTGGTTTATATGATTATGGATATTGTGAGTACCTTATGATCATCTACTTACACTGCTTTACTGTATTATTACTCATTGAGTTTCGCTCACCCAATATTATGTATGCACATCTAGGTGATCAACAGCATGGAGCACACCCCTACAGTCAACTTCAGGAAATCGAGTCGTGCCTCTGAAACGAAGTTTTGTATTGACTCACATTACACCTTGATCTTATTATGTTTTGTTATTATAGTCTTAGGTTTGTAAACAATGTGTACATATTTCCTTTGGCTCTTATATTTTTGTTGGACATGTAAATGTTTTAATGTGTTACGTGGTTAACTCTATAATTTTGCTCATGATTGGCACATCTCAATGAACTTCTCTTTATTATTATGCTTCCGTTTATGGCCCCATTAGCATAAATATTTTGTATGTTAGTTTGAGGCGTTTGGTAATTTATGGATTACTAGCCGGTTATGACTCAAACTTTTAGGGGCGAGTTTGGGTCATGACAGAGTGGTATCAGAACACGAGTTAATATCTCACACACAAGCCCATGTGAGCAATAAAAAGTCTAGAAAAGGTTTAAGTTGCATCCATAATGCAATCGTAATTAAGTATGACATGAAAATGTGCATTTGTAAATATGACTTATGTGTATATTATCTGTGAAAGTTATAATGTATGTTGCTTTTGATCATTGTGAGAACAAGGACTGAAGATGGGGAGGATTCAACCTCCGCACGACTTGATCGGATGGAGGCAATCATTATGGACATGGCTGAGGCTTTTAAACAACAACAATAATAACAACAACAACAGCAACCCCCACCCCCACCAATGCTGATGCCACCACCAGTAGTGCAAGACCACCAAGCTGATGACCAAACTATTGCTCTCATAATGGAATTTAAGAAGATGAAACCACCATTGTTCAAAGGGGGAATCAATCCATTGAAGTTAGAGGCATGGGTTCTTGGGACAGAGAAATTGTTTGGGGTGTTTCTATTTACGGAGGGCCAGAAAGTTTTACTTGCTACTTTTACATTGGAAGATGAGGCACGCCATTGGCGGATGCTCATCCGAGAGGAATATCAAGGAATGAATTAGGCTAAGTTTTTGGAGATCTTTTATGAGAAGTACTTCCCACAAAGTATTCGAGACAGGAAGGTGTCGGAGTTTGAAAGTAAGGGAACAAAATTGTAGCGGAGTATGAAGCATAATTTATCGAGCTAGCCCATTTCGCACCACACATGGTCGATACGGACTACGAAAAGGCGAGGAAATTTGAGGGAGGTCTCCGAGACTCCATTCTTGAGAAGATTAATGTGTTGAAGGTACATAAATATGTGGATGTGTTGGATAGGGCCATCATGGTGGAAGGTAACCAGGCCAACCGTAGCTGGTACTTAGATTGGAAGGGCAAAAGGCAATGCTCTAACGTGCACAAAGGGTCGGTGTCCTCACAAAACAAGAAGCAAAATTTAGGAGCTTCTAACACTGCGGGGTCTAACTGTGATTCACCAATAACTTGCCCGGAGTGTGGGAAGAAACCTCAAGGGGTTTGCCATCGAGCATCAAGAGCTTGCTTTAAGTGTGGGAAGATAAGACTTATAATGAGAGATTGTCCTATGTTTGGGCAACAAAAAGGGAATAGGCCAACTGCTAGTTCAGCTGGTTCCACTTCTGCAACAAAGACCCCGACAAGACCTACTACTTCTAGAGATAATGTTAGACAATGGAGAGTCTTTGCTCTTGTTCTGGGTTATGTCCAGAATTTAGATGTAGTGGTTTTAGGTATGCTTTCCATCAATGGCCAATTTGCTTATGTACTACTTGATTGGGGTTCCGCTCATTTTTTTTTTTTGTTTCGAAAACCTTTGCTCCTAATTTGAATAGATTTATGGAATCCTTGAATTATGTGTTGTGCGTGTCTCTCTTATCTAGGGACTGTATGTTATGTGCTTCTATGTATCTTGTATGTGAGCTTTTACTTGGAGATATTCCATTATGTGCTAATTTGATTCCTCTTGATATGGTACACTTTGATATAATTTTGGGAATGGATTGGTCAGCTAAGTATCATTCAACCATCGATTGTATGTCTAAGCAAGTTGCTTTCCGTCCACCGGATCAAGATGAGTTTACATTTGTGGGACATGGGGTGCTCCCTCCACCTTATTTGATATTGGCTATGAAAGCTCGTAAACTACTTCAGAAAGGTTGTAAGGGTTATTTGTGTAGCATTTTGCATCCAGTGACAACTGAGGTGGGTGTTGAAAATATTCAGATTGTTAGTGAGTTTCCAGATGTATTTCTGAAAGAATTTCCAGGGGACTTAATAGACCATGAGATTGAATTTGTCATTGATATTGTATCAGGTACTCAACCAATTTCTAAGGCTCCGTACAGAATGTCATTGGCAAAAATGAAGGAATTGAAAATACAGTTGCAAGAATTGATTGACAAAGGATTCATCCAACTGAGTACATCGCCATGGAGCGCACCATTTTGTTTGTGAAGAAGAAGGATGGGACCCTTTGGTTGTATATTGATTACAGAGAACTTAATAAGGTTACAGAAAAGAATAAATATCCTTTACCACGGATTGATGATTTGTTTGACCAATTACAGTGGGCACAAGTGTTTTCAAAGATTGACTTGAGATTCGGGTACCATCAGTTGAAGGTTAAAGCAGAGGATGTTGAGAAGACCGCATTTCAAACTAGGTATGACCATTATGAATTTTTAGTCATGCCATTTGGGGTTACGAATGCACCAACAACTTTTATGGATTTAATGAATCGTGTTTTCAAACTGTACTTGGATGAGTTTGTGGTGGTATTTATTGATGACATTCTTATTTATTCGAAGAGTGGGGAGAAACATGAAAAACACTTGAGATTGATTCTTCAAACACTTAGGGACAAAAAGTCATATGCTAAATTGAAGAATTGTGAATTTTGGTTAAATGAAGTTGTGTTTTTGGGGCATATAATTAACAAGGATGATGTGTCTGTCTTTTCGCAAAAGATAGAAGCTTTTGTAAATTGGTCTGCTCCTACCAATGTTACAGAAGTATGAAGTTTTATGGGTTTAGTAGGTTACTACCGAAGATTTGTTAAAGATTTCTCCAAGATTACGGTGCCGCTCACCCAGTTAACTAAAAAAGGTGTTCCATTTAAGTGGATAGAACAGAGGGAGTCCACCTTCCAAGAATTAAAGACAAGGGTCATAACAGCACCGGTCCTTGCCTTACCATCAGGTACAGAAGGGTTTGTGATTTATAGTGATTCTTCTCATAAGGGTTTGGGATGTGTACTTATGCAAAATGGAAGAGTAATTACGTATGCATCTCAACAATTGAAGCCACATGAAAAGAATTACCCTATGCATGATTTGGAATTAGCTACTATGGTGTTTGCATTGAAGATTTGGCGGCATTATCTTTATGAAGCAACATGTGAAGTCTACATCGACCACAAGAGCCTCAAGTATTTCTTTACTCAAAAGGAGCTTAATATGTGACAAAGACGGTGGTTAGAACTCATCAATGATTATGACTTGTAGATTCAATATCATCGCGGCAAAGCCAATACGGTAGCAGATGCTCCTAGTAGAAAGTTAACGAGAAACATAGCATGTTTGCTTACGGTGTGGATTACTTGACTTGAAAAGAATGTAGGTGGAAATTGTGCTACATAAACGGGGTGGAATGTTAGTTGCAATGGCCGCACAATTGGCTATTTCGAGGAAATTAAACGAAGGCAATTGGAGGATGAATATCTCAAGAAAGTACATGATGAGATAGAAACAAAGCCGAGACCAGGATTTTCTTTGAAGCTCAAGTGTTGAAATTCAAGGGAAGATTGTGTGTTCCTAATGTCCCTGAAATTAAAGGAAGAGTCTTGGAAGAAGCTCACAAGTCCAAATTTGCTATGCTTCCCGAAAATACCAAAATGTACCAAGATCTCAAGCAAGCTTTTTGGTGGCCTAATATGAAGAGACAAATTGCGGAATTCATTTCAAGATGCCTTCAATGTCAACAAGTAAAAGCGGAACACCAAAGACCGGCGGGGTTACTTCAACCTCTCCCTATTCCAGAATAGAAGTGTGAGCATATAACTATGGATTTTATTGTGGGCTTACCCTGAACACCCCGAGGTTTGGATTCTATATAGGTTCACTACAACAAAAAAAGGTTTTTACGGCGCACAATGCACGCCGTAAAAACCCTTCTACGACATGCAGCACACGCCATATTATGACCAGTCATAGAAAGTCATTCACTTTCAACGACATGCTTCGTACGTCATTAAAAATTATTTAACGGTATATTTTGTACGTCATTATTACTTTTTCTACGACATGCTATAGTACGCCATTAAAAATTATTTATCGACAAATTTTGTGCGTCATTATTACTTTTTCTACGACTATTTTTGCTCGTCGTTAATTGGTGAGACAAATAACGACACTGATTGCGCGCTGTAAAATATGTAATACAGCGACTTATTATGCCTGTCGTAGAATATGCATTTTATTTTATTTTTTTTAAAATTCAGCAGGTTCTATTAGACCAATTTTGTACAATCTAACAAATATTACAAACAAGCATCACAAAACATCAATCAACCACCAAAATATTATTTGAAACATCAAAAAGAAACTATATCCATAAATTATAAACATTTAACAATTGTTTATACATTCCAAACATTTGAAAACTATATTCTTAAGTTCTAAACTGCACAAAAAGTTTAAACCATCCAAAACTATGCATATCTAACTTTCTAAACATATCGACAACTATTAAGAGATTATCTAAAACTACCGACAACAATTTCTATAGCAGTTGCAGTTGCAGTTGTAGTTGTAGCAAATCCACTTGCTCTTATCATAGGGACGAGGGTGCCCATTGTATGTGTTAAGGCACCTAAACCCGCGGCAATAGCTAGAGCAACAAACCCTGTTGCATTTCTTGTCTACATGACAAAGGAAACTTTACATAAGTACAAAAATCAACTATTCAGGGGCAAAAATATTTCTTGAGGTATTAAGAAATGATCAAGAAATTTTAAAACATCAACAAAACATTTCCAAAATTAATAAGATAATTCAATGGCCCCATAAAAGCAATGTCATAATGAAAAATTAGCAAAAATTCAAGATCTCAATAGTTTCCTACTAAATCTAGGCCATAAGAAGCTCAAGAGAAAAATCAAATTTAAAAAGAGAAAGAAATGGAATTAATCTACTTCAATGCAGCACCTACTTGCGAACTTGCATAATTATGTTAAAGGATCTCTATGTATGAGGTTTAGGTTTGTCTAGGTTTTATGCATTACCATTGTAAGTTCCAAAATAAAGAGTCCAAGTCAAATTAGAGTCTATATTATTTACAAGTTTGAAAAGAAACTTTTAATCCATTATAGAAGAAATTTAGGTAAGTAGCTTTAGGCACTTTTTGGGACAATGTGATGTAATTCTGCTTGAGTACTTAGTAGCAAATACATGAGATAATGAACTATAGGAATAATCCCTAAGCTAATCTTTTTCTTCTTCTCTAATTTTTCACTAGAGGGTATTGATATCTATAAGCATGGAAAAGGTACCTTTCTGTATACTGATGTAACAGCCTTGTGCTTTTTTTCACTGCATAAAAGCAACCCTCAATGAAATAAGGACTCTAATCCTACCTACCCTTGCCCCCCTAAAAGCCCTCCTCATAATTCTGTAATAGTGAATGACAGATTTATACTCACCAAACTAGTCAAACCTGAGAAAGAGACCAGTAGAAGATATGATTACACAAATTAAAACAATATATGATACTTAACTAGAATTATGACAATGAAAAATATGGACACTTGAAACAAAAACATGGGTGCTTGTAACCAATTGTGTATCCAACTCACATGTCTGACCAAAAGAGATTCAAATAGTCCTCTTCTTAATTGGTTTTTACTTTTATCTTTGATTGGGCTCATGGATATATGGAGTTAAGTTAAATTTCAATTCACAAAGCAATATGTTATGTAAACACTTCATTTCATCCCAAAAAATAGGTGAAGAAAATTGAATAACTTTGGCAAGTTGTACATTTAGTGTGTCTAGCATGTAAACATGTCAGCACCTGACAAACAAGCCAATGTGAGAAAGTCATTTATGCATGTATACAGATAGGAGGGGATAAGAAGTTGCTACATGCAACCCCAATCATAAAAGACCTAAACAAGATGCCACTCTCTCAAGAGATTTTGGGTCTCCTTGAAAGGAGATCTTCAATCATGAGCTATGACTACTAGTACAGTGTGTCCTCTAACACCATATTTCAAGGAGATCCAAATTCTCTTGAGTTCTGCAGACGCCTAGTTAACACCAATTAACCACATTTCAGGATAACTGCCTTTTCAAACAGGCCTTGCTATGGGATATGGAGAGGATAAGCAAAAATTTATTTATTTCTTTATAGCTATCTGTTGGAAAAGTAAGGCCTGTTTGAATAGGTAGTTATCCTGAGTTCTGCAGAAATGAAAAAAAATATTTTCTTCAAGTAATCACACAATACTTTTCCCGTGATCATTTAAAAGCATTATATGAAATTATTGAACTAACAATTTAGTCCATCCCAACACTCCCACATTCATTATTGCCATGCCTGCCCAGTTACTCATCTCCACCCAGAACCTTAACTGGCTTAAGGGATCAACATATTATGCTCATGCATACATATAATATAATTCCAATCATAAAACATCATAAGCATGCATATCTAGGAAAAGCAACAAAAGGTGGCTTATGAAATTTAGAAATAAGAACAAATCTCATGCAAAAGAAGCAAATGATATCCATTGTTAAAGTAGCTGAATAAAGAGAGATTCAATTTCCAACTTGTCAAAATATTAATGTATTTAAATTGTTCAACATCCTATAAGTAGAAGTCAAAGTCTAACCAGCAAGATGACAGAGGCCATTGCTTCCAACTTCGGTATCAGACAACTCTAAGCATCTCAAACGCTAAAGGCCTGAACTTCAAACACCAAGCCATAAGCATGTAAATAATCAGAATCTATTGTTGAATTGGCACACACACCCAGATCGACAAGGAACTACAATAAAAAAAAAAAAATTAGATCCTCCATCAGATGTACAAAAGACACAACCTTTTCCTTTTAGGATGTATAGAAACCAGAAAAAATTATGGCTATGATAAAAAATAGAAAAAATTATGCACCAGAAGCAACAGAAAATAGCAAAGAGAAGTCTCATATACACCAATATATGGCAATGCAGTTTGCCCTAAATATTTTGGATATAAAGGATGTCTTTGGCTTACTATATTCTCCTAAAAGTTGCATAATATGAGATGCCAAGTCCAACCTATTTTCTAAAAACATGACTTCCCAATGCTAAAATAGTAGCCAGATTATACCATTTCAAAAAGAGTAGGATTATTATATAAACAATACCTAGAACAATAATGGCTATTTTGCAATGCCATTTCAAGAAAAAGGTTCCCCAAACAAGAGAAATTTTTTTTAAAGAACCCACCAAGCTTGTACCTGCACACTTTGACATTTGATTGCCGAAAGGATCTATATCAGTTTTTGAAAAGGTTGGTAAGCCATAGAATCTGAAAGAAGGTCACTATTAATCATGTGGATGAGTTTGAAAAGGTGCAAATCTAGTCATTCTTGAACCAAGCTTCAGTAGTTCAACACATTCTACAGCCTTAATAACAACACAGTCACATCATTAATAAACCTGTGATAAGGGGACAAAAAATTAATTTTTTTTGAACATGATAATTAGGGTGGGGAGGGTCACGGTCAAGGAGAGGACAATCCCCCATTGTGTGTAGCCTATCAAAATTCAACCAAAAAGAAAAAGAAAGATAACTTCATATCAACAAATAACATTACATTTGTAAATTTTTCTGCATATTGAATTTTTAACTATAGAACTTCATGTGTGAACTAATCGATATAATCACAACAGTTATACAATGCAAGTAAAACTCATGGTATTGCTAATTGCATAAATGAATGACTAAAAAATGAAAAGAAATACAAAGGTAAAATCCCATTCATTTCAAGAAAATGCCAAGTGAAACAAATTTAACAAATATGTGTAGTATAGTATAGCAATCGCCAAGAGATTACATTCATATGAGATACCGGCTCTGGTGTATGAGTAGCTGCTATAAATGAAGGCAATTGTTCCTTGTAGCTAGTTAATAATATTTCAAAATTTTCACTTATTGGACAAGTGTGATAACCATGTTCCGCATTATGCTAATTGATATTTATTATGAATGTGATTATGTGTTTGATATGATTTTGAGTGTTTCTATCTGTTTTTCGTAGGAAAATCTGTTCAACTTACTGTTATAAACTGAAAAATTGAAGGCCTTATCGGCCACAGAAACCGAAATTGATTGTGCCATTATGATTAGCGTAATTTTTAGAACCTATGGTGAAATTTAATTGAAAATTGATTCGGATCAAATTAAATAGACTAAATTGATGAAATAGTGCTCAATTAATTAGTGTTAATGAAATGTGATTAAGAGAGCTTATAAAAAGGCTCATTCTCACTCAATTCCTTTTTTTGTAAACTCATTTGGTTGAAATCACACCTTAGAGAGAGAGAGAGAGAGAGAGAGAGAGAGAGAGAACCGAATTGAGAGAGAGAGAAGGGCCAATCTTGAAGATTTTGCTATGGAGCTCAAGCTTTGAAAGGCTAGGGTCAAGAATTTGCTATAATTTGGAAGAATTAAAGCTCATAGGTGAGTAATTGAGCAAAGATTTATGAGTTAAGTTTGTAATTTTGTGAATTCAAGTGATATGGTAGCTCATGGAAAAGGTTGAGTTTAATATGAAGTTAAAATGCACATGCATGGATGAAATTACTATGTATCACCATGAATTGCCATGAAATTGCATAAGCTAGCATGAATAATGTTGAATATGGAGAATTGGGCACCAATCTTCATATGCATGCATAATTTTTATGGGTTTCATAATAATAAGTGTCATTTGTAACATTTGAAATAGAAATGAAGTCAAAAATTGACATTCATGCATGATTATGAAATTGGTATGAAGCTTGAGTGCATAAGTTTGGACCATGCAAGAGAAATGTTGATTTATTTGAGGATTAGATCATGATTTTGAATAATTAGCCTCACATTGGTTGTATCCTTATATTATGTAGTGCTGATGGGTCGTTGAACACACCAAAATTAAATACTAAACTATACCAAATTTAATCAGAATAATGGCAAGTCCAGGTATCGATCCACAGGGACTATTGTGAAATTAAACTAATTTAATTGTCAAATTCCTAAATTAATTTTGATAAAAAGATTGGTTGTTTATAACTTAATTTAATAACGAATAAATTAAACTAAGGAATTAAATTATCAATAATAAATGAAATTGAGTTTATTGAATTGGGGGGAAAATCCTAGGGTAGAGAATTCACCACTAACCACATAATTAAGGTTTCCAATTGAAATCAATTATGCTATGGTTTGAACGGATTAATGCTTCGCAACTACAAGCTCAAAACATTTAACAAGAAGATCATCACATTCAATGTACGAGCACGAACCATCTCAAGTAATACGAATCGTTCACTCTAAACTAAGGTAGTGATACGACTCGTTCCTCGTAGCATGGTTCGTCTCATACCTTGAATGTGAAAGAATAGAAAACTCATGTATGGATAATATTCAACAATCACAAAAAGTCAAATATTCGAAGAGATAATGAAAAATATAATAAAGAAACTTCTAAATCACCATACAAATGTTCAAATCTTTACATAATTAAAGATCAAAAAGAAAACAAAATAATTACATGGCTAGGGTTTCATCAAAACCTTAGAAAAGACGACTAGCCACTCATGGAGGAGTGGAAGGAGGTAGAAGGAGAAGGAACCACCATGGGAGACATCTTGGAGCTTTTGTTTCTCTTCCTTTCCAAACCCTAGTCTCTCCCTTTAGGTCAAAACAACTTCTGAACCCTAATCCAGCCTTTTACTTGCGTTTTTATACTTCCAATCTTGTCCAAATAGGTTTAAAACGTCGGTTTGACTTTCCCAGAAAAAGTCAACGCACGTGCGGTAAAGTCAACACACGTGCGATAAAGTCAATGCACATGCGGAAAAAGTCAACTCTGTCCAAATTCTGTCTTTTTGCACATTTTATGCTTCGACGATGTACAATCTAATTGCACTCAACACACATAAAGTATACAGTTTGACCAACAAGTGAAGTTAAGAGATTCTAATTAACGGCCTCAATGATGTACATTTCGGCCTTAATCACATCCCCCAACTTATCACTTGCTAGTCCTCAAGTAAGTAAAATAAAATAAAATTAAACAAAATCTATCTATTTCCTCTTTCGTGGGAAAACGCTTGCATTTAGCATATGCAATAAGCCTTTAAACCACAAGGTTACCCCAAGTGGACGAGTAAAGGCTCGTGAGGGTTTCCAGAAATGATACTCACAAACATGAACATATTCATATATACTCAATAACAAATGACCACACTACTCCACCTAACAATCAACTTATGTTCCACTACAGTGTGATATTGAGACATCATGAGTCATTAAAGACACAATGGACAAGCATGAAGGAACCTATTGAGTTAAAACCACAATTCAGTTAATACAAAAGTAAAGTTCCCTATACTTGTGCATGCTAGTAGACAAGTCATGAGTACCCTCGGTGTAAAGTGCAATCTCCATATTAGTTAACTATCCACTATAATAGCCCAGTGTAACTCATAATAACACCCAACATATACAAAAAAAAGAAAAGAAAACCTAACCTGTTGCAGCCAAGATTCTCAAAAGTTGTTTTTTTTTTTAAATGACTATGCAATGTCCTGATCCATTAAATTTTCTAATCAACCCATGTAGCAAGTTTTGGGCCAATGACTTCCAAACCAGACGGCTTTAGGGCATTAGGTGTAGAGACACCCCTACGGGCTTAATAACTCGAGTTAAAAAGGCTACGAATCCGAACTAGTCATTCTTCTTATTTTTCCTTAACTGTGCAATGTCCAAGTCCCTTAAGTTTCTAATCAACCCATGTAGCAAGTTTTGGGCCAATGACTCCCAAACCGGACGGTTTTAGGGCATTAGGTGTAGAGACACCCCTACGGGCTTAATAACTCGAGTTAAAAAGGCTACGAACCCAAACTAGTCAGGTGGTGTTTTTTTTTTTTTTTGTTTATTTTGTTTTTTAAGAATCTTGGCTCCTCATTTATTCTTTTCTGCAACTCTAGCTATTATCAATGATGTACATCAGGGATTATAATAAAAAGATCACTGCTATAATAGTGTGTTCATGTGAATTAAGGCATACTCATGACAAGTGTACTAATACCACAAACATAGACAACTCTCCTCGTGCCAACATGGCATGCAAGTATCTACCCAATAAACCCTTTTCATACAAGTCTATTATGCTCTCTAATTAACATATGCAAATATCATCACTCTACTAGCAAAAAGTCACATCAAGTGAAGTAATGCAATCAAGTGAAACATGTATAAGCATGAATTATGAGCCAAATAGAAATGCACAAAAGAAAATATAACCCTCATCCCTCAACTTGAATATAACATTGTCCTCAATGGAAAAGGAAAGAGAAATGAGAGAATATTACCAGAATTGTAGGTGCACATCCAGGTAGGCAGAGAGTAACATATACACACTTCACTTCTTTTTTCTTTTTTTTTTTTGTTTTGAAGAAAAGAAAAAACGAAAAAGAAGAAGGAAAATAAAAATAAAAATAAAAGAGACAAAGCAGTATACATGCGGGTATTACGGAGAAGCCGGTGGTGGTGGCGAGGATGGTGGTGACGGTGGTGGTGGTGGTGCCGAAGAGGATGCACCCCTGGCCTTTTTGGAGGCCCGAGCAGAGACACGGCGACTCATATCCTGTACACACCAACAATAGATACAGATACCCGTGAAACCAGCATGAGAATCAAATAAAATATGAAAGCACAAATTTGCCCACTAATGTACCACATGCAATTCCCACTGTTTGTTTGTTATTTTTTTAATTTTATTTTATTATATAAAAAACAAAATTAATTAAATAAATGAAGTAAAATGACATTAAATTAAATTAACTAAACTATAAAATAAACTAAACTAAACTAAACTATAAAATAACTAAACTACAAAATAGACTGAAGTATAGAATAAAACAACCAAAACTAAACATTTGTTTATTTATTTATTTTTTTAAGTGAAGAGAAGAAAATTAAATAAAACTTCAGAAAATAAAATAATTCCTACATTCACAAATCCACACAAAAGAAAAAATTACCTTGAAAAAGTGGAGAAAGAGAGAAAAAGAATGGAGGTTCGCCGGAAAAAATAGTGGTCGTTGGAGTTTCGTCGGACGGAGAGGGAAGTGGTGCCGGCGGTGAGGTGATGGTGGTGAGAAAGAAGAAAGAAGAAGAAAAAGAAAAAAAAAAAAAAAAAACTAAAAAGAAACTAAAAACAAATATAACACTAAATTAGGATTAGTGTTAGTACCATTATTTATGAAAAAAAGAGAGTGGGTAGGTGTGAAGATAAGGTCAATGTTTGTCTTCTTTATTTATTTATTTATTTTTATTTCCTAATTTGACAGTTTGATCGGACTATTTTCATATCAAGTTGTGTTATACTAAAAAAAAAAAAAAAAAAATCGATTTTTTTTTATTTTTTGTATTCTTTTTAAAAAATATAAATAAAATAATTGTATATTGATTT